GGCTGATACTAGTGTAGAAAACAGCAAAAAGAAATGGCTGAAAATCTGAAATTAAAAATAACAGACTTACAAAATATGAACTAAATATCTGCTGCATTTTAATACATATATAACAAACAGAACATAGAGACATTTTGTTAAAATGTATACATTATTCAATTAAAGTTTTCTTATAAGTGATTAACCTAGAGAACTGTTTTTCCCAATCCCAAATTTCTGCTTTCACCTTCTGAACTAAAATAGTACTGGATTAGAATTCCCTGATGCTGGGAAAGATTGAAGGCAGGAGGAGAAGGGGACGACAGAGAATGAGATGGTTGGATGGCATCACCAACTTGATGGACATGAATTTGAGTAAGCTCCTGGAGTTGGTGATGGACAAGGAGGCCTGGCGTGCTGCAATCCATGGGATCACAAAGAGTTGGACACGACTGACTGACTGAACTGAACTGAGAATTCTTCGCTGTGATCCCCTATAAGCTCACTTTGAAGGGAACACAGGTATATCAATATTTTAAGCACTTGATGACAAGTGCGCGTCTTCTTGCTGATTAATTGACCTCCTCTGGATTGACGATCGATCCCCCAGGCAGGGCAGCCTGTGTCTAAAAGGAGTCAGTGCCCCCTTCCACTGTCTCCTGCGCAGAAGCTGGTCACCGGTTATGCAGGCAGAAAGAGAAAGAGCAGGCCTCAGTCTCTTCAAAGTCAGGGGACCTGTTTCTAACCTTTATCAAAATGAGTCAGCAGTCACTGCATTTCCAGAATTCCTTTTCAACCTTTTTTAAGTGGTCAATTCCAACAAATTCTCTTGTACCTTTTAATTAATCATCAGTGAAAGACATTGATTCTATACTTTGTGCACGTTTGGGTCAAAGTTGACAAGCTCACCTTAAAATATTGCATATTGTCTCTGGTCTTCCAGGCCCAACCACTGGCAGGTCGCCTCCCAAAGTCGCCTCTGGAAGTGGCCGCAGCCTGGGCTCTCGGGCCCCGGGGTGCACTGAAACACTCCTCCAGCATCTCTCCTCTGCCCCGGGAGGACGGAGTGCAGAGCCGCTTCTAGTAAGCACGGAGGGCACGCCTCCTGTCACAGAAACTCAGCTGTTCACAGGGAGGAAACAGGGCTCCAGATGGTGACCGGACGACCACCTTGGTCATCCTTGGTCACCTTGGTCATGGCGGCCTCACTTTTGCACAAGTGAGTGCAAAGACCTTTCCAAGTGGCTAGGACAGGGGTGGGGTGCTGTGTTGACGGAAAATGGAAGGAGGGAGGGATGGAGAGAGGGCGGTCTACTTACTGTGTGAAACGTGACCTGAGACCTACGTCTTCAAAAATTAAGGGTTCACCCTCATTTTCAGTCTGAGCCTCTGCTGGGTGGCAGGTGGCCCAGGCTGTGGGGTGACCCGAGGATGCAGCAGGGGGTCAGGAGAGAAGACCCCAAAGAAACGGGGAGAGAGGATCCCAAAGAAACGGGGTGAGAAGACCCCAAAGAAATGGAGGAGAGAGGACCCCAAAGAAATGGGGAGAGAGGACCCCAAAGAAATGGAGGAGAGAGGACCCCAGAGAAACAAGGTGAGAAGACCCCAAAGAAATGGAGGAGAGAAGACCCCAAAGAAACGGGGAGAGAGGATCCCAAAGAAATGGACAAGACCCCAAAGAAACAAGGTGAGAAGACCCCAAAGAAATGGGGAGAGAGGACCCCAAAGAAATGGAGGAGAGAGGACCCCAAAGAAATGGGGAGAGAGGACCCCATAGAAATGGAGGAGAGAGGACCCCAAAGAAATGGGGAGAGAGGACCCCAAAGAAATGGAGGAGAGAGGACCCCAAAGAAACGGACAAGACCCCAAAGAAATGGAGGAGACAAGACCCCAAAGAAATGGGGAGAGAAACCCCAAAGAAATGGAGGAGAGAGGACCCCAAAGAAACAAGGTGAGAAGACCCCAAAGAAATGGAGGAGAGAAGACCCCAAAGAAACAAGGTGAGAAGACCCCAAAGAAATGGAGGAGAGAGGACCCCAAAGAAATGGGGAGAGAGGACCCCAAAGAAATGGACAAGACCCCAAAGAAATGGAGGAGAGAGGACCCCAAAGAAATGGGGAGAGAGGACCCCAAAGAAACAAGGTGAGAAGACCCCAAAGAAATGGAGGAGACAAGACCCCAAAGAAATGGGGAGAGAGGACCCCAAAGAAAGGGAGGAGAGAAGACCCCAAAGAAATGGGGAGAGAGGACCCCAAAGAAACGGGGTGAGAAGACCCCAAAGAAATGGAGGAGACAACACCCCAAAGAAATGGGGAGAGAGGACCCCAAAGAAACGGGGAGAGAGGACCCCAAAGAAACGGGGTGAGAAGACCCCAAAGAAATGGAGGAGACAAGACCCCAAAGAAATGGGGAGAGAAACCCCAAAGAAATGGGGAGCTGCTGCCCCGGCCCTGAACACCCAGCCTGAGGGCAGACACCGCCGGGTCCAGAAGCCTGACCGGGGGTCTCGGGGGTCAGCACCCACTCCGGACACTGTGGGGAGGACTCAGCGATGAGCCTCTTTCTAAGGGGCTGAGGGCCACTTACTTACCACACACAGGAGGTTTCTGAGCTGATGAACCACGTCGAGAGTGGGAACATCACCCACTCTTCAGCACCAGAGAAACAAGAGTTCTGAGAAGGATGAAGGCACGCCCGCCCTCCCTGAGTCAGCCGGCTCTGACCCTGATATCCACGGGGTGTTTTGAATCATTGATTTAGAGAATCTTTCCTGTTACCTGACTCTGCTCATTTGTGTCATTTTTATTCCCAAGTCTCATGTCTGAAAGTTTCTATGTCTCTCTGACACTAGGCTCCTCGGAATTCTGCTTCCTTATGATTTCCTATAATGTGAGGCAACTGTTTCTCAAATAAGTAAAGACAAATTTTAAAAAATAGCTTTGCTCTTAGAAATTCCCTCATTATCTGCTTTCCAGAAAGAAGAGTAGCCTCCTGAATAACTGACTGTCTCAAACCTTAAGATCATGTAATTTGGCTGATTTAAAAAAATATGAATTTGGTGATACAGAGATTTTAATTATAGTATTTTGAAAGTGTGATAACCGTTAATGTTTAACATAAAGTATCTGAAAAAGAACAGTTGATAAAAAATGCATAAAAATGAGTTTTCCTATAGTAAACTCATTACATTCAATAGGATAGAGTTTGCGTTTAGATTTTAGTTAATTTCCTGATTCCTATAGGGTAACAGCAGCCTGAATAAGAATCTCTTCATCCTCTTTCCCGAACCATGGAGCTCAACACAGACAAGAAATAAAACACTCCTAACAGGTAACCATTGTTACCCCTAAGTGGGAAATCATTACTAAACTCAGTTGCAGATTTTATTTTGCTGCCTCTCAGTCATTAAACATCATTATTGAGATGGGAACATGGAAGGGGCTTCAGGCCCCAGTTTCCTCCCAAAATGCTGCTGTCTGAGCATCTGACACGGGACCTTCAGGCTCCTGGGAGTCCTGCTCGGGCTCTGAGGCTGAGGAGAGGGCTAGGGACCCACCGGGTCCCAGACCACAGAGACCCTCACCCACCAAACCTGTGGGCACCCCCCTTCACCCAATCCCAGGAGACCATGGAGACCCTCACCCACCAAACCTGTGGTCACCTCCCTTCACCTCATCCCAGGAGACCCTCACCCACCAAACCTGCAGGCACCTCCCTTCACCCAGTCCCAGGAGATCCTCACCCACCAAACCTGCAGGCACCTCCCTTCACCCAGTCCCAGGAGATCCTCACCCACCAAACCTGCAGGCACCTCCCTTCACCCAGTCCCAGGAGATCCTCACCCACCAAACCTGCGGGCACTCCCTTCGCTTGGTCTCTCCCTGGTACTAATTATAACTTAACTCCCGCGCAGCATTTACTGCTTACGCTTGCTTCAGACATGCCATCTCCTGTAATCTTTAAGGAAAATTTTGATCTGGTTATTATCATAAAAAAGAGAAAGCTGTGAAACCGAAATACACAGTCTGGAGACTTATCTAAAGGCAGCTAACATTGGTGAACCCAGAATTCGTGACTTCCAGCTTCAGGCAACCCTCCGCCAGGGTGTCTGCCTCAGGGGGCCCCTCCAGAGGAAGAGGGGCCCCCGGCATCAAGTCCAAACCAGAAGGGTTCAAGGGGTGGGGGAGGAAGGACTGGGAATTTGGAATTAGCAGAGCAAACCATTACACGCAGGATGGAGAGGCAACATGGTCCTACAGTGTAGCTCAGGGAACTGTGTTCAACATCCTGTGACAAACCATCCCAGAAAAGAATGTGAGAAAGAATATGTGCATATATATACCTATGGGCTTCCCTTGTAGCTCAGTTGTTAAAGAATCTGCCTGCAGTGCAGGAGACTGGGGTTCAATCCCTGGGTGGGGAAGATCCCCTGGAGGAGGAAATGGCAGCCCACTCCAGTATTCTTGTCAGGAGACGCCCATGGACAGAGGAGCCTGGCAGCTTAGAGCTCATGGGGCTGCAAGAGTCAGACACGACTAATCGCCTAAACCACCTCCATATACACACATACATATATTTACAAGTCACTTCACCATGCATCAGAAATTAACACAATGTTGTAAATCAGCTACTGAAAAATCTGTGTTATGGCCAGTAACAGGTTGTAAATCTAAAACAATGATCCCCAAACTATCAATAAAAAATTCAATCTGAAAAGAAAACAAAAACCAGAGGAGTTTGACGCACCAGAGCTCAAGGCCAAGGCCAGTCCTGGGGAAGAGGCGGCTCGTGGTCTCAAGCAGCCACAGATGCTCCGAGAGGGGGGCACTCCCCGTGGGCAAGTGGGCCTCGGGTGAGCCCGCAGAGGCCCGGGGACAGGGAGGCAGCCCGTCGGGGGACAGTGGAGCCTGGGGCGGGCGGCCCGGGGCTGTTCAGAAGCCACCCTTCCCCAGCAGGGGCTGCCTCGCCACAGACCTTCACCCTCCTGACCCTGGCGGCTCACAGGCAGAGGCAGGTGGAGGTCAGCCCCAGCCCCGCTCCAAAGAAGGGGAGACGTGGGTGCAGGCCGGGTCCCCGGGGGTGACGTCCACCCTGGGCCCCGCTCCTAACCCAGCAGAGGGGCAGGTCACCGCCGTTTCCAACCTGCAGACCGGCTCAGAGTGACCGCCAGGGCTCGTGTCCACCTGGGGCTCAGGAAACGACAGCGATGGAGAGACTGAAGTGGCGAGGGCTGAGCGGCCTGCCACCGCGGCTCTCGGAGTCCCGAGGGCGGGAACCGCGGCTCCCTCAGCTCCCACCTGCGGCCTGCACGCAGCCTGAGGCAGGACGCGGCGCAGTGGCTGAGGGCACCCTGAGCCCCGAGAAGCTGGTGCCCGCGCGCGCCTGGCGGCCATGCGGGGGCTCATTTCCTGCGAGCGGCACTTACGCCTTTTGGAGAAGCTGCTTTTATTCTGCTCAGAGGGAGGAAAAGGAACCTTCCGGGACCCTGGAAGAAAGAGGCACCACGTTCCAATTCTCTGAAATAATTTAACATGTGATAATATAAACATTTTGTTTTCAAAAATATTCCCTGGTGCTTACGCCTGCAATTCCCTGCCAAGGTTCCTGTTTATTCATTTCCCCTCAGGGATGTGACAGGAATGTAAATTATAGTTTAGACGCCCTGTGGATATGAAAGGTAACTTTCTGTTCCTTGTCGCCTGCGCTGCTGAGACACAGCCTGGGGCTTTCACGTGGAGCCCGCGGGGGCCCCAGGGCCACTTGCCTCGGTTGCCGGGGCCGCAGGTCTGAGAAGGGCGGGGATCCTCCCGCTCCCGGCCGCAGGCTCCGGGGCAGAGAGGCTCCTCCTCACCTCGGGGACAGCCGTCCGCGTCTCTTCAAGTGTCCCCTCCTCAGCCCGTGTCCTGCCCGGGGTTGGGGGGCTTGGCCCCTCTGAGATCCTGCCCCCTCGGTTCCCGGCTTCTCCCTGGGGCAGGGCTGCGGGGTGTGGGGGCTGGGGGGAGTGGGGGGGTGGGTCCCAGGGTTTGTCCGCCAGGTCCTGCTCACGCTGCTGAGACAGGCTCACCCTCTGCTCTGGTTAGCGGCCTCCAGGACCCTCAGGGATCCTGTCCCTGCTGGAATCCCGCAGGGTCCACGGCCCGGACCTCCAGGAGGGTGAGCGCCTTCGGGGTCACACCTGGCATCCGACCTAGCCGCCCACCCCTCCATCACCGACGGAGCGGAGAGGCCCGGGTCTGGGGGTCTCAGCAGGGCTTTGGCCCAAGCCTCCCGAGGAGGCTTCACATCCCGTGGTGAGCGCGCGGCCGCCGGGCAGGGGCGCTGCTCCGAGGCCAGGGAGCACCGGGGTTTTCACGCTCTCGGCCCGCACCCACCTCAGGCCCGTGCAATGTCCGCAGCGTCCGGAGCATCAGCCGATCTTCGCATCCCAGTCCTGCCCCGGGTGCCCTGGGTGTGGACAGGATGGGGACCTCACAAGGCTCTGCAGCGAGGAGCTGACCCAGGGCGGCGGGCGCTCGCCTCTCGGCCTGCCTCCCAAGTCACTGGAAGACCCCTCGGGACGGGGTGAGGGCGGGGAGGACCCTTCAGGACAGGTGGGGGCGGGCGGGGGTGACTGGGGGCGGCCCTCCCACAGGACCACGGCCGCTGGGAGTTGAGGGGACATGGACATGGGGCACCGTGCAGGAATCGGGTCCCCACGGCCGCCTCCCCAGCGGATTGGGGTTGCTCTGGGGGAGCCAGTATTTTTAGCCTCATGTGTCTTAGACCTAATGGATTTTTAAAATTAGTCAACATAATGGATATTACTGGATTCTGAGTCTATTATGTAAAATTCCATGGCTGATTATTTAGGCTACAGTTGGCGTGATTTACAATTTACACTCGTAAGGCTAAGCCTCTGTGATAATTAGGACTGAGGAGTCCTGCTGTGCCTTATTTTCGTTTTTTTGTTTTCCTTTTTTCAATCAGACCTCGGGGTCTGATAAACAGTGAATTTGGAGGCCCACATTCCTATCGAGAATGTTCACTTGCCTCTAAGGCCTGGAGCTTTCCTGCCCTCTCCATGATTGATTTCTGATTGTCACAGCGCTGTGAGGGGGTGCCAGGCCGCAATCTGTACCTCACACGGGCTGATGTTTAGGTAGAATAGTGACTCCGTGTCCAGGGCTCAGGTGACTGGCCAGCTCAGCTCCCAGAGAGTTTGATGAAAAGCTGGGGGTGTTTGGAAAGCAGGCGGTGGGGACCACGGGAGTCAGACCACAGATAAGAAAGGCCCCGCAGATGGGTGAGGTCCCTGAGGCTGAAGGAGGCCTAGGAGGGAGGCTGGCATGAGCACCACCTACCAAGCGTGGGTATTGGTGCATGATGGGTGCTGTTACGTCACCTCCTTATCAGGAACGTCTTCCCCACATCCCCGCCAGGGTTCCCGTCTGACTGCTTCCCCTCCCTCGGGGAAGGGGTCGCACCTTAATAGCTCAGCAAGAAGAAGCTACTGGGCTTGGAGGACTCGCAGCACTTCAGGCATCACGAAAGGCTCTGTTTTGTTATGTGGAGGCTTAGATTTGATTTCAAGGGAGATTTTCAGTGATGTGATGTTTTAGCTTGGCTTGGAAGGATAAAAAAGGACTTTTCAAAGGCCAAAAAAAAAAAAAAATGGGGAAAAATTTTAAGGATGAGTGAAGAAAGGAAAAGGAAAGTGCATGCTTATAAACACACCTTCCTTCCGTGTCTCCAGCCAGGGGCTTCCATGCAAACGGGCAGCCAGCCCCCGTCTCGCTTGACGCCCACCGCGACACCCGCCGCGACGCCCACCACTCCACCCCGTCCTGTCCCTCAAGCCCCACACGCGTCCTCCTGGGGCCTCTGCCCCTGCTGCTCATTCCTCCTGGTTCCCAGCGTCTCCCCAGGTCCTCACCCAGTGTCAAGAGGAGGTCACGGCAGAAACAAGGCATCGGCCCGTAAGAGGTCACCTTCTCACCAGAATTTCTCCAGCTCCAGCCTGGATCTGAGGCTTCCAGAAGCAGCACATTGACAGACCTGTGGATATCAAAGTAAATATTAGGATGATAACCAAACAAACTCATTCCCCTTGCTTTAGTTAAGTGATTTGATAATTTGAGACCTAAAACTAAGGCCTAATATTGCTACATGAGCCTCTGCACCTGGGAACCAGGAGGCATCCCGTGACCTGAGCCCCGCCCGCCCGCTCTGCTCCTGGGTGAGACCCCAGATTAACCCCTCATCCCGGGATCAGCCGTGGGGCCTGCACATCTCTGGGTAGCAGCTCGGGCTCCCGCCCCTCCCGGGATCACTCAGACAAGCCCCCACGTCCTCCTGCAGCAAAGCCTCCCTTGAACCTGTCCCCAGGGCACCCCACATGGCTCCGCCTGGCTGGGAGCACCCGAGACCACACCCTGCTGCCCATCTCAGCTGCCTGGGGCTGGCTGAGTGCTCAACACCCCCAAAATGCTGGGATGGGACCCCCCCACGGGGTGGAGAGGAGACAGGACAGATCCTCCATGACCCATGAGAAGATGTGAGTGGTCAGTGCCCAGCCCGAACCTGCGAAGCCGCCCCACCCACCCAGGGGGAGAGGAGGAGACCACACGCCTCCCCACCGTCTCCTTCTCAGTTCAGGCTCAGCTCTCAGAGCAGGTCTCAGAACCAAGCTCACAGGCTGGGGCGTGGGGCCCGGCCGACCTCTCTTCCCACGGTTTAGGAGAAAGTATGAAGGGCATTCCACGCGTGTGACTGTCACCGGAGCTGCAGTCCCAGAGCAAGGGGCCATCGGTTGACTCATCAGTGTTCCTGGCCTAACACAGGGCCTGATGTTTTACAAAGTCATGGTGAATCCTTGTTTCCTAAATAAACACTTGCAAGATTGGAATGAATGAGGAAGAAGCCGGGCGGACGACAGGGCTGGACTGCAGGGGTCCTTCCCACCCCACGGTGCCTGCGGTCAGGGGCGAGCTGGTCCTGCTCACTAGTCTCCTGACCCTCCTGCTCAGCAGAGGAAGAAGGCAGGCCCAATGTACAGGACACAGACCTTCCCAGACAGCACCAGGAGCCGGAGAGGAGAGGACACACTGCCTGCCTGGGTCGGAGTTTTTCTCACTTCCATTTAAAAAATCATCCAAAAACAATAAGAACCCTGGACACGTTTTCAGCTGAGTGGGTCTGTGTAGGATGGACTGGATCATAGCCCTGACCTCACAGATGCCCTTTCTGCACTACAGGATAGAGAAATGTAAACTGATTTTCTTTAATGTAGAAAAAACCATTTTTCCCCTCAAATGAGTTTCATTAAACATGAATAAAAGACAAGCATGTGCATTCAGCATGGCCCAGATGGCTGCCCCAGGTAGCACCCCAGTGCCCATGGAACAGGAGCAGGGCATCTCTGTGGGAGACACGGGAGGATGCCGCAGCGGGTGAACCTGGAGGACTCTCACCTGCGAGTGGTGGACTGAGCGGGCTTCCTCGTGGGACAGGAGAAGGCGGGTAAGGCAGCCCCAAGGCTGACCACTGCGGCCACTGTGGCCTGGCCCCAAGAGCCACATCGGAGGATTCGGTGATACCTGCCCATCACCATGGCAACAGGAAGACCTGACCACAGTGGGTAAAGGATGGGGAAATTCAGGTGAGATCTGAAAACTTAAAAGGAACCAAATTGGATTTCTAGAAGTGAAAAATCAAGTATCAGACATTAAAAATTCCTTGGAAGGAATTAGAAAAAGATCGAGCAGGAGAAGAAAACTGAGACCTACCTATACTCACTACCCAAGCAGAAACAGAAAAAGTGAGGAAAGGGGCAAAGCTTCAATCCCCTCTGAAAATGAGTGCGAACAACTCAAACATGTAGGTAACTTTACGGTGCAGAAAAAATATCAATGAAAATATTAAGTTCTGTTCAGTCACTCAGTTGTGTCCAACTCTATGTGATCCCATAGATTGCAGCACACAGGCCTCCCTGTCCATCACCAACTCCTGGAGCTTGCTCAAACCCATGGCCATCAGTCGGTGATGCCACCCAAACATCTCATCCTCTGTCGTCCCCTTCTCCTCCCGCCTTCAATCTTTCCCAGAATCAGGGTCTTTTCAAATGAGCTCTTCGCATCAGGTGGCCAAAGTATTGGAGTTTCAGCTTCAGCATCAGTCTTTCCAATGAATACTCAGGACTGATTTCCTTTAGGATGGGCTGGTTGAATCTCCTTACAGTCCAAGGGACTCTCAAGAGTCTTCTCCAACACCACAGTTCAAAAGCATCAATTCTTCTGTGCTCAGCTTTCTTTATAGTCCAACTCTCACATCCATACATGACTACTGGAAAAACCATAGCTTTGATCAGACAGGCCTATGTTGGCAAACTAATGTCTCTGCTTTTTAATATTCTGTCTAGGTTGGTTAT